CACACTGAAGATTCAACATTTATCATATCATATTAGTTGTGGATTTAGAGCATGTATTGTATAGGTTTCCAAATTTGGTTGTGCTTAGTAGATAGTTGATTATCTTGCATATTCCTATTGATATATGCGTTGTTGCACAACTTGTTGATTTTGGAAACTTGGGGATGTCATTATTTGACTATGGCTAGGACGTGGTTCTAGTACGGGGGATAGTCCCTCTATATAGTCTAGTGCGCACATAGGGAGGTTACACATAAGCTAGTAACCCTATAGTAACTATGTTGTCGGTCTGATCCGGCGTGACGTTCGAGTATCCACTTTGTTTGACTTTGCATTTCATTTTCAACTTGATAACTAAATGATGTTGTAACTTGTTGTTCCTTATTTGTCATTCCATTTTAAGTTACATGATGTTAACTTTGCAAAATTGTGCTTTATGCGTTGTATTGGAAGTTCTAATGTTAGTTAAATTGCATCAATATTGAAAATTATGTTTTGACGTTCTAACAAAGCTTAGGATTGATCCTATTGATTCATTTAGAACTTAGACGTTAGGTGGCAAGAACCACCACTGTTATTTTGTGCTTTAGATTCTAAGTTGATGGCTTTGAGAACTTATACCTTGTTGCATTGTATAACATGCTCTTTTGTTGTTGAATTGCATGGAAAATGTGATTCTTGTTAACTTGTATTCAAATATGCTTTTGTTATGTTATATGGATTACTCTAGACCTAGTTCAATTGTATTGAAAATGCAATTCATGTTAATCTATGCTCAAGCATTCTTCTTATCATGTTCTTTAGATTATCCCAACCATGATTCGTTTCATACACGTATGTATATCATGATTCTTGTTGCTTAGACTCTAAGGTAGCTTAGGATGCTCCCCGAGTCTCACTTGGACATAGACGTTAGGTGGCATGAGCTCTTTTAACATGTTTCACCTTAATGTGATAAATTTGTAAAATGCTAGGTCGATGCATGCTCATCTCCTACGAGTAGCTCTATGTTACTCACCCCTACGATACTGGGGCATATTTCAGGTACGAAGACTTGGTTCATGACGCCTAGCATTCCTTGGATGTCGTGTATCTTTCAAGTTTCCATTTCATGCGAATGTTAACATGAAATGTCATTTTGTAGACTTATATGTCAAAATATGTATATTTGATTCCATGTATGTAATGTGTACTTAAGTACACTTCTTTCAATGTATTTGATATGTATGAGATGAGGCCGGAGGCCAATGACCATTATATTGTATTCTATGTACTTTTTAACTTCATGAAATATTGTGAAAATCTTGAAAAATCACAAGTCATTGCTTCACCATGGTTGCATCGGGTGTGGGAATTCCATTTTCATTCTTTCATAGGGTCTCATTAATCTTGCATTTTTGGTTTCCATGTTTTCCATTCCAAGTCCATTTTTGCCTTTTTGCCCGTTGGGGGGTCAGATTTTGCATCGGCTATATTTTTAAGCCATGGACCATTGTAGCGCATCGAAATAGGTAAGTTACGTTTGCGTGCATAGTCGTTTCAGGGCAAAACCTCATCGTTTGTATTTTGAGCCTCCTACGATTTCAGTTTGCGTTTTTGTTGCATATTCTGATATAGGGGTATTCTAGACTTTTTCATTCATTTTTATTTCCTTATTTCAACATGGTTGAATAGAAAACATGATTTTAGGGAGGGTTTCTTTTCTGTGTTTTTCCAGAAAATGTCGTCTTGATATCGGAAATCGCTTACGAAGTTCAACTCTCAGTTTTTCAATTTAGCAGCTTTTTGGACCTCCATGACCAGATTTCATGGAGGGGCATTTCGGGCATTCTACGTTACGTTTTTTTTTAATTCTCTCGCGAGTCAAGTAGAAAACTCAATTTTGAGGGGGGTTTCTTCTTTGTGTTTTTGCAAAATAATTCATCTAGGCTTCCAAATTCAGCCTCTATTCTGGATTTTTCTGAAAAATAACCCCACAGTAGCTTTATGGGCTGCTGCTGCCAGCCATGGTGCACCCAGTGCACGCGCGGCATGCATGGGCGCGCGCATGGGCATGCGCATGGGGCTATCATGGCCCCTCGTCGGGCCGCCACGATGTCAATTCTTCTTTTGGGCTTTTCTCCTTCGTCCGGACTCCGATTCAAGTGAATTTTTTTTTTAAACTTGATTAATTTTTCGTCGTCTATCCAACGGTGTGCTCGGTTACACCCAGATATTTTTGGATAATTACCAGTTTGCCCTTAAAGCTTTAACTGTCCGTTTTTCATTGTCATGTCATTTCTCCTTCGTCTGGACTCCGTATCATGCGATTCTTGAGTCCATCTTGATTAGTTTTTCGTTGTCCTTCCAGCGGTGTGCTCAGTGGCACCCGAATCTACAGTTTTTAGAAATGACTATTTTGCCCCTCAGGGCTTATTTGTCATATTTTCAATCTTTTGCTTCCGCATCAGTTCTTGTTGAGTTCCACGACCTCATGGAAGGTCACCTTAACTTCTTAGAGTCTTGTTTTCTATTTTCGCTTCCACATTCAGATCTGTTATCGGATCATCCTTACGGTTCATCACAGGACACGCTAGCCTAAAAATCAGGGTCGTCATAAAAAGGGGGAGAAAAGCACCTTAATCAAAGATATATATATCCTTAAGAATGCTTTCATTACTGCTATATTGATGCATTATTGATTATTTAAGTTCCTTGTCGATATTCAAGCATATTGACTTTCAAAAGCAAAAAAAAAAAAAAAAAAGATTGTTGTTCCCACCTTTGAATTAGGGTTTGACCTTTTAAATGTCAAAAAGTCCATTACAGGTTCTCGACATTGAGTTCCAAGTGTTTCTATCTTGAATAGTGCTGGTCCTAATTTACCTTAAGGAATATTTCCCTTTTAATGTCAAAAAGTATTACAATGCTTCAGCCTCGGACAATGAAGGTTCAGCAGCTACAGGCGCTCGGCCTCGGATAGTGAAGGTTCAACTACTACAGGTGCTCAGCCTCAGATAGTGAAGCTTTGGCAACAACAAGTGCTCAGCCCCGGACAGTGAAGCTTTGGCAACTACAATTGCTCAGCCTCGGACAGTGAAGGTTCAACACTTCAATTTTAGCTATAGGTGCTCACAGGGATACTATGGTCTCTTCTCAGTTGTATTTCAGATGTATATACGTATGCTCAGGTACCTGCGTTGCACTAAAATTGAACCTGCATTATGAGGAATACAGCCTTGGCTCTGTCACAGTGCTGAGTAGAGTTCAATCTGTTTTGAGGTCAGTATGGTCTTTTCCAACTATGCTCAAGAATGTTACACGTCCTAGTGGTCCTAAAGAAGAATGTGACATGTCTCAATGGTCCTAAAGAAGAATGTGACACATCTCAGTTGTCCTAGAGAGTTGGTATATGCAAGAATATTTCATTCTTAGAGGCTAAGTTTAGACAGAAATGGAATTCAGTACTCAAACTTGTAACCTGCTATAGCCGGAAGAATAGTGACAAAATTAGCTAAGGTGGCAGGTCTGCATTGGTTCATTGCTCTGAAAATATTTGAAATATGCTCTCTTAATCATTGGCTAGAGGTGACAAGTGTATATCCATGGAGTGTAAGGCTATGTGTAATTCAATGTCACTATAAATATGCTGCTATAAGGCTCCTTAAGGTTCAAGCCTCTTTAATTTACATTGCACATTGAGCTGCTGCGGAGAAACCTCGAGTATACTATGTCAAGCAAGTTTTTCTCTACTATTTGATGATGATATATGCAAGAAAAACTCATTGAATCCATTCTGTATTGATTGCTGAGATGAGGCTGATGTCAAAGTTGCTGATGCGAGGGCACTATTGAGTAGTGACTTGTTTCAAGCTACTGTGGTCGATTCTGAAGGTTGACATAGGTATAATTCATCTTTTTACAATTGTTCAAACTGTGTTTGTGTTAAGAATATGATAAAAATGAACTTGGACGGTAGGGTCACTAGTTAAGCTTATCTTTCTAAAGAAATCTTGGATTCAAGTGCTAATTAATTATACTTAGCTATTTCATGATGATCTATGTTGCTAGCTAGTATATTTTGATGAATCAAGATTTTGATAAAGTTGAATTTGTGACAAAGATATGGCATGCTTTGATTTTGAGTATTCTGTGCCGAAGCTGTCTTGTACTGAAGTTAATCTATGCTGAGGCTATTCTGTACTGAGGCTATTCTATGCCGAAGCTTTCTGTGTTGAAGCTATCTTGTGCCAAAGCTTTTTGTGCTGAGCTGTTATTTTTTGAACCAAGAACTTTGACTGAACTTTGTGATATACTCATGCTATGTTTGATTATGCAAAGCTATGAACATAAGTACAACAGTAAAAGAAGACTGTATGAGGCGCTGGTGAATTGATCTCAAAAGGAATTTCCAATTTTACCCCTCAAATCGTAGATGCTACGGTTTGCAGTTCTGAGGCAGTAACTTGGAATTCTGTGTTGCCCAGCCTATTCTAATTATTGCAAAGACTTTATTGTATTTAGTGTGTTAACACTTATTATAAATGGTAGTGAGGCTTTACATCCTCACCCCATTTGTTGATAATCGTAGTGAGGTATGATCCCTCACCCCATTGTTGATTGAGTTGTGAGAGCTTATTAGGTCCAAGCGCCGTTGCTTAGGACAGGGGGAGTGCTCGGATGCACTATGGTGTACTAGTATGTGTGTATTGGTTATGAAAACTAATGTCTACTTTAGTGCATGGGTGTGTACAGAGAGTGAGACAGCTGAGTGTGTAACAAGATACATACAACTAGTGGATTGCTTATTGGCCGAGGCCAAGATCCAAGGTTTTCCCTAATTAATAGGGTTTCCTTGTAAATACTGTGTTATCTGTTCCTTGATTGCTTGCTTAGTGTGCGAGAAAGTTTTTTAAAGAAAAGTTTTAACCAATTCACCCCCCCCCTCTTGGTTCAATAATTGGTTTTAGAGCTTTGGTCTGCATTGTGAGGTTCTAATAAGCCTGCAGTTGATCCCAACAATGGATGAAGGTCAAGTTATCAACAAAGCTCCAGGGTTTGAAGGTTCAAACTATGATTCTTGGAAAACTAGAATGGAAGCCTTCTTAATGTCTCAGTCCTATGTTGTTTGGCATGATACCGTACATAGTGTTGTAGTTCTTAATCCTGATAACCCCTCTACTGAAGATAAATTGGCTATGGCTAATGATGCTAACAATAGTGTTCTCTTCTGTGCCTTGAGGCAACAAAAGTTTACCAGGGTTAAAAATTGTAAAACAGCCAAGGAAATGTGGGATTCTCTTCAGGCAATGTAGGAAGGAAATAAGGTTATTAAGGAGAACAAGATACAGCTATTCAAAGTTCAGTATGAGGTTTGTAAGATGGAAGAAAGAGAAACAGTTGTTGAGTGCATTGGTGTGCTCGGATGTCGCACTCCGAACCCAAAAGTTTATGCAATGTGGCCAAGTTTTACATTTAGAAATTGCCACTACTACCTTTCACTAAAAATATGCTAGGGCGAGTAGGGATCGTCCCAAGGGATTGAGTGTCGTACTAGGTTGAGGAATCAAAATTAGGGTTAGTAAGTCGAGTGATCAAAATAGTGGTTGGTTGGTTGAATTAAACTAGATGCAATTTAAATTAAAGTAGACAATAATGCAATAGAGAGAATAAAAGAGAGAGAGAGAGAGATCTTGGGGTTTAGAGATCACCACTAAGCATAGCTTTTCTACACCTTTAATGAATGATTAATGAGGGGAAGAGCATGTATTGTAACAAATAGTGTGTATGTGGTTGTTTCAACAAGCATGGTTGGCAAATTAAGCATATATTGTCTAAACAACATGGTGGATAGCACAACATATCAAATTGAGCTATTAATCCTTTCTTTAAGCTCACAATCCAAACACATCACAGGGTTAGAGATACATGTTACTTGCTTTTCATAAGTATGGAACATCAACAACAAGCATGGATTGTCCTCCCATTTAACAACTACTATACAACTAAGCAAATGACATGAAATTAAACTAATTAAACTAAGGAAGAGGTACAATCCATCAAACAATGAGTATGAACCATCAAATAAACCATAAGAACATGACATTAAGCACTATGTCTTGACAGTCTCTAGATTTATAGCCTCAATACACATAGACATGCATCAATAACACAAGAAATGGAGACAAACACATGAACATCTATTCTAGCATACATAAACATATAGATAGAATGAATGATCAATTGGAAGCAATAAACCACATAAATCATTGAATAAACAAGATCTATATATATATAAGTGTCAAGACATGAATCACAATACTAATCTCCTTAAAAATACATAAATCAAGAAGTAAAAAGCATGCTTAGGGCTAACTCTAGCCCCAAGAGGATGTCTAGCCACTCATGGATGATGTCCTCCAACCCTCAAGGGCAAGCTCCATAGAAGAAATCTACTCCTTGGTTGATGAAGAGTCTCCAATGGTGTCTCTAGCCCCCTCCTCCTCTTTTGCTTCCTTCCTAAGAGTTCTATAAGGTATGATATGATATGATGTAAAAAGTAATCCTTATCCTTATATAGGTAGGTCAAATGACACCCAAAATGAGCTAGGGTCATATAGCAAATATTCCCCAATGATTGGATAAAGGACAACTTTTTGTGAGCTGGAAATTTAACTTTTTCGCACTGGAGGAAATTCGATCGATCAAACCTTGGACTTGAATCAATCGAACATAGCTGAGATCTATCGAACTTAGGCTGGATCGATCCACAATGGTAGTGCCTTTTGGATAAAAACAAATCTGAGATATTTTGAAGATAATTTTGGGAAAAGGACAAAAGCGGTTGGTAGGGTGGTATAACTGGAAAAGATCAATCATTTGGATAAAGACAAGAATGTTTGATCAATCAGAGAAGGAAGTTGGATCGATCGAACTTTTGAAATCTTTGAACAGGGATAAATATGGCTCAGATCCATCTTGAAGTGCTGAGATCGATGAAAGTTGGATCGATCAAACTTTTCTTGAGATCGATCGAAGTTATTAAAATTCCACCTTTTGCTTCCTTTTGTTCTACTTTGCTCCTTTCTTTGATTCATCCCAGAATTGCTTCAATTATGCTCTTATTTGGCTGAGTTAGCTTATTTTAGGGATAAGTACCTAAAAATGGAAATAACACGAAATCAATACAAAACGGTAAAATAAGATAGATTAAGGTTCTAGAATACCTAAGCTTAAGGGGTCTAAATATGCACTTTTCAGCGCTCATCATACATGTTCAGGATCAATGACCGTATCAACAATATGAGAGCTCTTGGTGAAGATATTAAGGATGTTGATGTTTGTAAGAAGATATTAAGGTCACTCACTTCTAGATTCAATCCTAAAGTGACAATTCTCGAAGACAAAGATCTTTCTAGAATGAAGATTGACGAGCTTCAGGCCTCTTTCACTGCCTATGAAATGAGAATTGGTGTTCCAGTTGTTCATAAACGAGAAGCTGCTCCTAAAGTAAAGGAAGTTATTGAAAAAACTGAAACAAAGTCTAAAGATGATCTTGAAGAAGATGAGGTAGCCAACCTTGCTAAGAAATTCAAGAAGTTCAGGTTTAAAAAGAAGAATCAGCTGCAAAATGTAACCTGTTATGGTTATGGTAAACCTGGTCATGTTGTATCTAATTGTCCAAACTCAAAGGGGTAAAGTCAAAAAAAAGAATGAGGGTGGTAACTACAAAGGAAGGTTTGGTAGAAAAGCACTTATCTCAGATTCGGATGCAGCTCCTGAAGAAGATAAATTCGAGGAGACACAAGAAGATGAAGGTCTCTGTATGGCAATTCTTAAAGCACCACAAACTTCAGTTCAAGTTGAAGAAGATAGTAACACTGAGATTGAGAAAATTCTCGAAGAATGTGAAGGGATTGCAGTGAAGTGTAATCAACAGAAATCCCAGATAAAAATGCACAATTTAGAATTGTTAGAGTCCAAACAAATTCTCACTAAACATTTCAAACTTAAACTTTCAATGTTGTGTTCAGTTTCTCCTACTTTTCAAAGCCTATTGAAATCTCAAGTCAACACTCAGTGGTCTACCTTCAACAGGAGAGACTTTGGTACCTCGGCTATAAGGAACTTCAAGATAACTAGAATGTATGTCAAGAAGTCAGACTTAGCTTCTGCTCAGAAGGTCAAGGACAAAGGATCATTGGTGAAGACGAAAATGATGTGGATTCCTAAGAAGCTGAACTCTGTGAGTCTTCTTGTGTATACAGCTTTTAAAGCTTGTAATATTCAAGACAAATGGTATGTTGATAGTGGCTGCTCAAGACACATGACAGGTGATGGTTCCAAATTTAATTCTTTAAAGCAGTTTGATGGTGGAAATGTTATCTTTGGAGATAATCAAAGAGCTAAGATTGTTAGAATTGGTACTGTGAGTAAGTCTGAAGAATTGCCAGAAATTCAAGAAGTTCTATTGGTTGAAAGACTCAAACATAATCTCCTCAACGTTAGTCAATTGTGTGACAATGGGAAGGAAGTCTATTTCAATAAAGAAAGATGCAATGTGATTGATCTTGAATTAAAACAAGTTTTGTTCTCAGCTAATAGATCTTCAGGAAATGTGCACACAGTCACTGAAGCAAGTCAGGTCACTCAATGTAATTTAACAACCTGTGATGAAGCAAAGTTGTGGCACAAGAGGTTAAGTCATCTTCACTTAAGAAATATGTCCAAGATTCTAAAACTGAAAGCTGTTAAAGGATTGCCTAACATCAGTTTTAAGGATGATCACCTTTGTAAAGCATGTCAACAAGGAAAGCAAACCAAAGTGTCATTTCCTTCTAAGGAAATCAACACCTCAACAAGCGATGTTGCTTAGGACAGGGGGAGTGCTTGAATGCATTATGGTATACTAGTGTGTGTGTATTGGTTGTGAAAACTAGTATCTACTTTGGTGCATGGGTGTGTGCAAAGAGTGAGACAGCTGAGTGTGTAACAAGATATAATATTTGTGATTTATATAAATATATATATATATATATATATATATATATATATATATATATATAAGGAAAAGATTTTTAGTGGCATGGGACCCGCCACTATACCTTATCAATTAAAATGACCACAAGGTCAGTAACTGACCTCAACCTCTCTCTTCTCATTTCGTCATTCTCTCTCAGCCTTGTACCAGTTTATTTTTTTCTTTTTCTTTTTTCCTCCATTTAAGCCTAGAATCAAGCTTTATCCTTGAGAATTTGATTATGCCACTTAAAGCAAGTTGATGAGCGTGTTGAGACCTTCGTTTTGATCAGAGCAATTTCTAGTTTGAAGCACTTTTGAAATTTCAAATTTTGGGTCTAATTTAGGGCTTTTCATCTATTTTAAGGTAGAGTATTCTAACCCACAAATTCTTTGATTTCAGTGAGTTATTTCCTTAAATTTGGCCCAAGCATGATTTTATTATATTAATCTTGTTATAATCAAAAGATGATTTATGTGTTGTATGTGCTTTATGTGTTAAGTGGCATGCTAAGATGAGTTGTTATGAAAATGTGAGCATGGTTATTTAAGTTAATTGATACACTTGTTATGATGACATGATTGTTAAATTGAGAAATTGATGTGGAGTTTCAAATTATTTTTGAAAGCATGCAAACATGATATATATGGAATGGATTTACGCTTTGTATGCTTGGTACAAAAAAATAATAATAATAATAATAAAAATGTTGAAGTGAAGCATGAATTACCTATTTTAGATATTTAATTTGCAAAGCATGTGTGAAATTCTATGGTTGAATTCATAATTAGGAGCATAAAGCATTCATGCATCCATTGGGAAAGGAAAAACGGGAAAAATGTTTTGAAAACAAATAAAATGAATTTGGGAAAATATTTTTGAGAAGTGTTGTGAAAACCTGGACGCCTAGAAGGTGCCTAGTGGTTCGTGGTGTTAGTGTGATCTAGAGGGGGTAAGTGAGAGACTCTATTGTGGTTGAGCTACCCAGACGACGCCATAGAGGTGCCATGTGGTCGGGGAAGACTAGCCAACCCCTCCCTCGTGACGCCTTGGAGGTGCCTTAGGTTGGATTACACTAACGGTTTGGAAGTTAAAAAGGACATGTTTCAGAAATGGGGAGCGACATGAGCATGGCATTGCACTTCATGGGCATATATGGTGTATTTATGATTTGGATGACATTTGTGTTTATATTGGATGTTGTGGTTATGGTTTACACCCCCGGTATAATATGATCCCTCCTCTTGTTTTCTATTATATACGTGGATTCACGGGGTCATAAGATGTGTGTCTTAGACACTTCTTACTGAGCTTATGCTCATTTTTCAGGACAGGGAAGGAAAGTGATGGACACCGCTCCTCCACAGGGTTCAATGGGTTAGTAGATCGTTTTGGCATACTTGTAACTATGATCTCATTTTATTACTATTATTTATTTATTTATTTATTTATTATAATCTTATAAACCTTGGGATGACACGTATATTATGTATTGAGATAGGAAAGGATAGTAGTGCCCTTAGTTGACCTCGAGTTCGGGTAAGGACTCGGTTAGTGATTCTGACCCTCGGGTTCGAGTCGTTACACAAAATACATACAATTAGTGGATTGCTTATTGGCTAGGGCTAAGAACTAAGGTTTTCCCTAATTAAGAGAGTTTCCTTGTAAATCTTAAGTTATCTGTTCTTTGTCGTTTGCTTAGTGTGCAAGAAAGTTTTTTAAAGAAAAGTTTTAACCAATTCACCCCCCACCCCTTGGTTCAACAAACAGTGCATTCAATTGATTTACAAAGGTAGAATAGTCATTTCATTATGTTGATAATACTATCCAAATGATCTAAGGGAGGTATATTGTATTGAAGACACTTCTACAGACATCTCAGGGTTAAAAACCCTAGCACAGACAGTGACATTTTGATACATAGCTTCTCAGGGGCAATTAGGTATTTTTTGTAATGACCCGATCACTTTCTTTCCTTTCCATTTCTCAAATTTTTACGGATATTTTTTTTCCGTTGTCTTTTCCTTTCTGAGTTCAATTTTTCCTCACTTAGTGTCATCTCGAGTGCTCAGAAGTAATTTCTAAGACTTTTTTTTGGATTGACAACTTCCTTTGAGGACCGGGTCATTTCCACATTTTTATTTTTCGGACACTATTCACTTTACGTCCTTTTCCCTATTTTGTCTTTTCCCCATTTGTCACTTTGTTGGCATAACCATACTTCTTGTGTTTGGAGTTGGTTTTTGACTTCACGTATCTTCATTCTAAGTGGTTTCCACAAAATACGTATCTTTACTTTTGCAGAAAAGTACTCTGGTTGTTCCCGGTGTCCATAGGGGCATGGATGCACAGTTCTTCAGAAACATTTCCATTTCTTGGGGTGTTTTACGTAAATATCTTTTGAAGATATTTTATTTCAGGAGTTTTCAAGAAAATATCTTTTGGAGGATATTTTCATTCTGGGGCAATTTCGCAGTTTTTACTTTTTTGAGGGGCCATTGTACAATTAATGAAAGTTATTGCTAAATGTCTTGTTTTGAGCCTGGATCCTCGTATGGGATTCATTTTCACTTTTCATCAAGTCGTGTGCTCATAGGATTTCCTTCTGGTCGTTTTTCAACAGTTTCAGGGTTTTTGGCCCCGATTGCCGGCAAACTCGTTTGGGGGCATATCTCTCTGCTCAGGATTCTGTTTTTGACGTTGTTTCTTCCATTGTACATCTTTTCTCATTTTGGTTCTTTTTTGTTCATGGAGTTTTGTCGTTTGAGTGCGTCTACTCAAATTTCACTTTTCAGGACCTGGCAGGACTCTTTCGGGGCACTTTTTGAGTTTTTCTATAAATAAGGGGTCTTAGAATGAAAAATCAGATTTCTCACCCTCTCTCCCCTCTCTTGGCCAGATTCCATGGCAGCCAAGGGCTACCACCTTTTCTCTCTTCTTTTGACCTTCCTCCCTTTAGTAAAAAGTCGTAGTACCTTAGTATTTTATGTTCGTCATGGCGAGGCCTTCAATTCCACCGATTGGAATCTCGTTTTGGCCATTTCTTGAGCTTGGGTTTGAAGTCAAGTTGTGATCTTGATGGGGCTTCCTTGGGGTTCTTGCTCACCGTGTTAGCCTCGACAAAACCTAGAAGTTTCGTCAGATTTGGAGCCGTTTCATTTCGGTGGGGATTTGAGAATTCATCTCAAATGGAGGTAGGGAATGTTTTAGGATTTTTTATGTGTTGTATTGAGTGTTTTCCATGATTATACAACTTGTTTGCATGCCTTGTATCAAATCTAGAATATTAGTAATATTTAATCCTTTGTATAAGATTTAATTTATAAGGATGCGTATAGCTTAGAATTGAATTGTGGCATGATGATAAATTATGTTTTGATATGTTAGTTAACATCATTAAATTGGAATTATTTGAATAAGAATTGCACTTTTTATTTGATAATTATCTTTTATGAAAGTTTAATTCTCATGGATGTACCTTGCATGAAATTAACTTATGATATGTTTTTAAATTAAGTCTTGGCATGTTCGTTAACATACTTTAATTTGAGAGCATTTGGATAAATATGAAAATCTAAATATCTTAATTAATAGGATTAATTAAAATCTATTTAAAGGTTCCATTGGCCTAATTAAGTTTTTAACTTGATATTTGTGATGATTAGGACTTGTATACTAGCATATGTTAATTTGGAACCATTTGATGTTGTTTTAGAATTTAGGGATTTGATTATCATGATTTAATTAAATTCTATTTTATTGTTCAAATGACCTAATTAAGTTTTTGATTTGGTATATGTAATGACCATGCTATGTTGTTTAACATATATTAATTATGGACCATTTAGTTAAGATTTGAAACTTAAAGAAATTAATTAGTTTACTTGATTAATTTCCATTTTTATTGCATTATTGATTTAAATCATGCGTTTAACATTGGTATTATGTTTGAAGCCTGATCTTAGACTTGTAATGGATTTATGAGATTATGTTCCAATATTGAATTACATTGTTATAGCGTGTAACGAATTGTACATTGAAGATTCGACATGTGATGTTATTATAGTGTGTAACGAATCGCACTCTGAAGATTTAACATTGTCATCCTATAGTAGTTATGGATTTAGAGCATGTATTGTGTGGTTCCAATCTACTTGTGCATGAAGGTAGTTTCGTGTACTATTTAATACGTATATAAGTTGTTAACTTATTATTTTGGAACCGCTTGGAACATTGCTTGATGGCTAAGGTTCGGCTCTAGTAACAAGAGTCCTCTAAGTCAAAAGTACGCGCGTTGGGTAGACTGCCCAGGGCTTAGTAGCCCAAAAGAAGTCCTGTGTCGGTCTGATCCGAATGATGTCAAAGTATATCCACTTTTACTGATTTCACACTTTTATATTTCAAGTTGAAATGTGTGGTATTAGAAATTCTAATTACACTAAATTACCAAATTTAGTTGTTGTCGCACTTTTAGATTTCAAGTTGACAACATAGAGAATCTATGTTTTGATGTGTGGTATTAGAATTTTTAATTATACTAAATTGCTATATTTAGTTGTTGTCGTATTTTAGATTTCAAGTTGATATCTTTGAGAATCTATATCTTGTTGCCTTGCATAGCATGCCTCTATGTTGGTTAGATTGCATAGATATTGTGATTTGTGTTTTGTTATTCAAATGTAGCTTATGAATGATCCTATAGATTCATTTGGAACATAGACGTTAAGTGGCATGACCCACTTTTGTCGTTTTCGTATTTTAGATTCCAAGTTGATGACTTTGAAAATCTATGTCTTATTGCTTGTATAGCATGCTTCTATGTTGTTTGAATTGTATGAATGATGTGATTTATGCTA